CCAAACAAATTATTGCATGGTTCTTCCAAAATCCTAAATTTTAAACACTGAAGTTTGTAACTACATCAAGTGTCACTGGGCATGTACATATTTGTGGTTAAGTGTGTTTTGCCTTTCCCCATTCATGAAGTATTTTTGACCTTCTCTTTTGTAAGATGAACAGCAGGGCCAACAGACAGCTGAACAAGTGATGCACAGACTAACAGAGGAATGCATGTCACATTCCACTTCCTTGTGCATGAGTGGGGGAGAAAAATAGTGAGTGCGAAAGAGAGAGGCAGGGAGCAGTGCATAGAAACAGTCTAAAAGAAGGCACATTCCTGTCTTTGTTTTCATTGTCAGATTTAAACTCACACTAATATCATCACATACTTGAAACGGTGTTCAACAACTCGACAACTTAAAAGGTTTTGGTCCATAAGCCTATATTAATATGAACATATAACAAAAAGACTTCTTAAATCCTTCAATCTAGGACGTGTAATAGATCCAACTGCAATACTATCATGCAAGTATAATTTACTCCAGAATGTTTTCAGCTAAATAAAATGTTTCTGGATTGTAGTCAAAGAAATGAGATTAAAAAATCCACTATTTTTCATATTTTAATGTTCATTAATTAAATAACAATAGGTCATGAACAGCATTAGGAAGCTTTTCGTGAACAGTGCGAACATTTACAAGGGGAACACATAGCAGGCGGTGGGACGTATAAAAAAAAGGAATAAATTACCCCAAGCAGCATCATCTATTAGGAAAAAGACAAGCATTGACAAAATCTTTTGATTATAGGTTCAAATATACATAAGTGCTTCAATATACAAAAATACATTATATTTATAATCAGAGCTCAAAGACACTTCATATTTGATTTGCATGTTTTCTTAGTGGGGAGGAAATTGGGTTTTGGAGAGCAGCCAGTGGCCTTTGTCCTAAACAACAACATCAAGATTTCCACTGAACTGACAGAGTGCAGTTGATTTTTAAGATTCAGTACAATAGATCATGTTGGTATAACATGAAGGTTTAGCTTATCATAAGAAGCATTTGGACAAATATATTTCCACTTTTGATACATATGGGTACAACCCACTGAAAACGGTGTTGCCGAGAAATTCAGTGTCATTCTTATTCTATATGCATCTTTTGATTAACCGTACTGAGCACTGCAGTGACTTTCTAAAACCCATTGTTATGATTCCTTGATTCCAAAGCTGAAGTGGAGAACATTGAACAAACCCTCATTTCACCAATTGTCATCCCCTGAGATGATCCAAAACAAAGGTTCCCGTAATGATTCCTGTAATCCTGTTCTACATTAAGTACCTTCACATAAAATTTTCTATGGAATATAATCTGGATTGGCAAAGCTCCATGTTTTGAACCCTTAATTCTCAAAAAGCATTCTGGGAATGTGCATAAAATTAGTTTGGCAACTTTTTGGCAGTTTGGTGTTCACTTATTTCTTGTAATTATGAGTTCAAATGGAATACTGCTTTCATAGGCTACTACACATACATTAAAGATTAACATTGTCATGTAAACAAACTTAAAGTTAACATATGACCTTATCTGAACTAATGCTCCAAAATAACACTCTTAACTAGAATATTTTTTTTTTTAAATATGATGATTGAATCTCAAACTCTCTCCTCACAAACATGTCCATGACTTGATAAATGCTGCGTAGTAGAGAAGCACATAGAGAAATGTCAGATTTGGAGTTTTCTTACATTTTGTGTAAGTAGGGTTAATCAAATGTATTACTGGCATGTCCCTTGCACACTTGTTTTTCCACACAACACTCAAAATACACTGTAAAACGTATATTATTAACAATCTGGATGTTGCTTTTAAAATTCAGGCCCCACTTTATGTTAGGTGGCCTTAAGGGTGGGCTAAGGTGTAAGGGATGGTCAACAGTGTAATTACAGATGTAATTACATGCAGGTATTTTTTAAAATATAAGTACAATGTAAAAACATGTATGTACACAATAAGTGCATTTTATCAAATGATTAATTTAAATTTCAAGTACAGTTAAGGCCACCTAATATAAAGTGGGACCAAAATTCAAACATCTGTTGAGGTGAATTTGATTGTTTTATCCCATTTAAATATATTTCTGATTAAACAGGAAACAACAGAATGTTTACAACTAACAGCCTGTGAGCCAAAGCTGCTCTTAGAGAGATGCAGCTGGCACACTTCAGTCATTCCTCATTCAACTGTTTTTTAAAGATGAGATTTCTCAGTGAATTACTGCATTAAGCATATCTGGCATCAGTTATTGTAAGATCAATTCTATTAAGATAATGATCTGGTTTGGACGAATGTAAGATTTGGCCTTAGCTCGATGTGAAGGGAAAACGCTTACCCAGAGTGCCTTTCAGTGATGTTATTTTGGGACATCTACAGCGCTCTCATTCAATTCCAACTGAATGAGATCCATCAATACTTCAGACCAGAGCCAAAAACACCATTGGAGAAAAATGAGAGAGTGTGAGGGAAGATGGAAAGAGGCTGAGAAAGAGAGAGTGAGTTTGTGTGAGCGAACGAAAGGGAGAGAGAATGATGACATGAAAAAGAGTCACTGAATTTATGAGGGACAATGTGGGCGGTGAGAGCAAGAGAGAAAAG